ATACATTTTTCCGCGCAATCCTTGACGAAGGTTACAATTGTAGACACTAAGTTGTCTCTAAATAAATGATGTTTGTATTTTTTTTTAGGTTTGCATAGATGAGTGAACTAGCTCACAGCCAACCCAATGTTAAGCGGTTGCCGGCTGTGATTCTACAAAACGTGACTACCGCCATCACCCTTGTGATTTGAAGTCGAAGTCTGAGTTGTATTGTGTAATACAATTAAAAATTTACAATTTTTTTTTCGTTTATTTTAAAGTCAATATTTAGTGAGTATTCATTAAGCCTTCGCAATTTTACAAACATGCAATAATCATCACATGAACAATAAAGCAATTGAGAACTGGAATAATTTCGGTTTAAGGCAGCCTAGAAGTTTAGACTTAGAAGCGTTAGGTGTTCTCAAACGCTCATATGTAGGTATTTTATAGATATCTTTCTGGCTTCAAACGCAATGGTCACAGCCAAGCTGCTGCTTCTATCACGTCCAGACTGATCCTTTTGGTTTTTCAATCACTATTCCATTGGCAGTTTACTGGTAAAGCGGTGACAATGTCAATGACATAAACGACGGCCAGGTGTATCTATCGGCGATCTCGTAAAGTATATATTTTTAAGCTTTCGTTCTTGCTGTTCGAATGTAAAATTTACATTATATAAATATTTATTATCGTATTCCTTGTCCGTTGTTCGGTGCGTGGTTCAAATGTAAATAGAATTACTGAATGCGATAGTTCGTACATGTTTATGTGAGACGTCGTCGCGTCGTTGTGAGAATGGATTGCGAAGGATGTATCCATAGAACAATGTGAGATCAAAGGAAGGGATAATAGCTTGTATCTGCATTGACGTATGTCAATAAACAGTGTGCTCAGTGTGGAAAACCTTTTCGAGAATATTTCAATGAACGATTAGTTCGAGACTGGTGGTAGGACCTCTTGTGAGTCCGCACAGGTAGGTACTATCACCCCGCCTATTTCTGCCGTGAAGCAGTAATGCGTTTCGGTTTGAAGGGCGGAGCAGCCGTTGTAACTATACTTGAGACTTTAGATCTCAAGATGGGTGGCGCATTTACGTCGTAGATGTCTATGGGCTCCAGTAACCACTTAACACCAGATGGGCTGTGAGCTCGTCCACCAATCTAAGCAATAAAAAATAAATAAAAAAAGGCACATCGTCTTCTCGCATTAAAACTGTATAGGTAATCTCAAAACTTACTAATTTTGCAGGAGAGTGTTTTAAAGTTCTAACATATTGTGATATTTTAAATATTAATCATCTTTGCAACATTTATTTTTTATTTTGTACCAGTTGTACATTATCTGTCTTTTATAGTAAGATAAAATTATGTATTAATTTTGTTAATAGTAGAAACAAAACATAGATAAACTAAAAAAACCAACACCAGGTGGGCTGTCAGCTCGTCCACCCATCTAAACAATAAATAAATAAAAACTTCAGAGGTGTCAAGGGACACCCGGATGGAACGAAGTTCCTTTCGATTAATTAGTGAAGGAATTGTAATTTTTTTTTTAAGTTATAATAATAAATTACGGCATTATGAAGAAAAAAAAAACAATACTGTGAACTAAATACTATTGTTGAAACGCTATTTCAAGAAACTGTACTCATTACGCGGACCAATCGGATACGAGCAATGTCACGCGATAAGCGCCTACACGTTGATTGGTCAGAATGACGGACCTAAAAAGTGTCGTGACCACTTTTCGTAAGAATTTTTTCCGTCTAGCCCCCTTTCACAACGCGCGACGTCGCACAGCTTACAATAGCTTACTATAGCAAAAAGTGTCGTGACAACTTTTCGTAAGAATTTATAGCAAAAAGTGTCGTGACGTACAAGAAATTGTACACTGTTAATGCGAAAAGGCGACATGTAAGTTGTGAATTTTTATACATTCAAAAACAGAAAATTGGCTCTATCTATATTGGTTTCGTGTTAGACATACCTATCTAAGCTTATCCAAATCAATTCCACTGAGAGTGAATGTCGCATTATATCTTCTTCAAAGTAAGTACTTGGCTGATATACTTAATAAAATAGGTTATACCAAGGTAAAATCTGGAAGATAATTAAATTTCCTCGCTTCCTTTTTTTAACAGTCCTTGTCGAGAATACGACCCACCTGTTGGTGAGTGGATACCGCCACTCATCGACTTCAGTAATGTCATTTTTTTGCAATTATTCAGATATCTAATTAAAGTTTTCTTCATGCCTAATCCTGACCGTTTTTGTCACTTGGTCACAAGAGACTCATGTTGTCTCCGACGAGCACTTATTCTAAACTAGTAATAGATTTAATATAATCTGCCGCGGAGTCATGGCGCATTTCGGTTTAATGGTGGGACATCCGTTTTACTATGCAACCGAGAGTTCAACACGTGCCGGTCTAGGACTCCTCGGAATTGAAGAACGAGATATCATTGCTGATGCTTAAGTGACTTACGAAGGCCACAGACACTAAAACTAAACTAATTTTTCTCTTCCATTCTCTTCTACCAGCCATCATCTCAATACTCACTCCTCTCTCTCTCTCTCATATCGTCATTCAAACACTCCATCCATGTCTTCTTCAGTTGACCTCTTCCCCCTCTACCTTGCACTACCATTTTCAAACATCACCTAGTCACATGCATCTTCTCTCTACGCATCACATGTCCATACCACGCTAACCTAACCTAAATAAACCTAAACAACCTTGTTGCTATAATGAACAAAAACATATTTTATTAACGACTTATAAAAAAGAATACGGAAGATAAAAGTATCTGTACTTCAATCCCCCTTATGCTATAATATTAATTCAACTGTTTCCCTTGGGGTAGGTATTAAGGTGGGCGTGGGTAGGTCGGACATCCGGCGGAAGTGGGCGGGGCGTGTCGGGCGCCATTTTGCGGTTTTCGCGCGCGCGCCTTGCGTCTTCCCCGGTGAAATAAACCGACTGTTTTAATGTGGCTCTCAGATTACATGTACGGAGGATAATGTTTACAACATCAGAATCATATGATTTAACAGAGATATTATCCAGGGTGAGCGCGTTGTCTGATAAAGACAAGATAATATGCTCAAGGATTCCTGATACATTTAATTGTTGAATATGAACGTTAATTATTAGGATTTTCTGCGAATAAAAATGATTGAAACGCTACGGTAAATAGTAGTTTTTATTAATTTCTCATAGTTACTGTAGATGCACGATCATGTTGTTCGAACGATTAAAATGTAAATAAAGAAATAAAATATGTTACACATAATTGAATGAATTTTCTACGGTTCATTTCTAAGCGTATGACGTGTGTGCTGTCTTTAACGTCGTTCAAGTGACGTCATCATTTCCCCTCTCCCGCAACTACCCCGAGAAGCATCGCAGCGAAGTAAGACTACAGCGGTGGTGTCAATTACAGGTCTCTCGTTCGAGAAGTCACAGATTGAAAATTGTGCACACATTTTATGTAAATGTCTTCTAATGTTTTTGAATTAGTACGTAGCATATCAGGTAGCTTTGTTGGAGTACCTTCCTATAATATATTTGAGACGCAGACCTCATATTGTGTCTTCGTGTTCCGTTACGATGAAAGTATTTGTCAAAAATTATTTTACGCATTGAAATGCTTATTTCTATCGGATAATTTTTTAAAACTTCGGATATTTTAAAATTTCGTTTAGGTTGCCATTAGGTAAAATATTAATTTTGTTATTATCTGTTCATAGCTAGAAAATTAAGGCAAAGGAACTCTCTATAGTTCCAACAGCCTACACACTAGAGAGGAGACAAACATATTATACTTCATTAAAACCAAAATAATTTATGTAAGCACTATTAGGTATCTATATATTTTGTGCGGTCAAAATTCTCATCAGATTAATTATTATCATAAAGCCCGTTGCGATAGTCGTCCGAGTGATTAATTTATCAATTCCGTAGCACATAAATATGTTGCGCATTTGTGCTCCATAATTAATCGGGAGAACTGTTTCTCGGATGGACGCGATAAAATGACGAATCTAAACTGCCATCACATTAAACTGTCGCATTATGATTCTCGTGTGTGAGATATAAAACGCAAATAGACTCGTTAGGAGTTAAGCACGAATAAATAAACGCGGCTGAGGGTTAATTTCCCGTTTCGGTCATCGCAACGTTTCGTTGATGCTACCAGGAGCTCATGAATCGCGAGAAGTGAGCCGCGACGTAAATCATGCAGCGGCCCGCTATTCATCACGCAACCGAAACCCATCAATCGTCCGAGACTGAAATAGAACGGCCGCGTATAGAAATGGGCATCTCACCTAAGGAAGACCGCGGGGAATGTGAAGTTGACGGGAATGCAACCGCTTGTATGCGAGTGAATAGATTGCTTTAGGATTTTCGAACACTTCTTCGTATTGATGACGACTTGGTAAACGCAGATGCATTGGTAATAATATTCGATACTGTTTTTTTTTTATCTCGACGACGTCCTAAGGTATGTTTTGAAACAAAAACAACAATCACTAAGCCGATATTTTCATTCCCTCTATCTACATGGTATACCCACCTAAATTTACTTCTAATTTATTCTTTTGATTAGTTATATAATTATTGTGTATTATGGCTATACAATTATGTCAATTTTATTACTCTTACTAATAATTTCAATACAAATAAAAAATGTGAATGTTTGACTATAATTTATATAGAAATTCAAAATCATATTATTTACAATCAGATTTGTTTTGACTAAACGAAACGGTCGCTCACAATAATATTAACTCATTCTACACGGAAACATTATCACGAAATTAATCAAACATGTAGGCCATCTAATCACGACATGCTAAACATCCTAAAATCAAATTAATATTTCCAATTAGACGCGAGATAACGAGCGGGCAAAAAATAACCTCATTAATAGATACGAACTTGTTGCCGCTACCGAATTAACGAGACGACGCAATCGTGTAATTACAGACACCTCCGCAGCCGGGAGGACCGCGATACCTACGGGCCGCGGCGGGGGCGGGGTCTTCCCGCGATCAATACTCCACAACGACTCGACTGGAACCAACCACCGCTGTTCTCGTCTCGCTCGCACTAACGTACGACCCTTCGAGGAGCAAGCGAGGCGGCACAGGCCGACGCCATTCGTCGGAGCGTCTCCCCATGGGCGTACTCGGACCTTCGTTAGCCGATAATCCGACACGGCTCAGTCGGCAAAAGACCGCGTGCTGTGCGCGTGCGTGCACCGCCGCACCCGAACCATGAGCTCCGCGTGAATTCCAATACAGCCACCATGCTCGTTCCCCCAGAGATGATGGCGGCCCAATCTAAACTAGTCTATCAAATGAATAAGTTCTACAACGAGAGAGTCGCCAACAGGAAGGCGCAAATAACAAAAACGATACATGAAGTGTGTCGGATAGTGCAAGATGTACTCAAGGAAGTGGAGTTGCAGGAGCCGAGGTTCATATCCTCGCTCACCGACTACAACGGCAGGTTCGACGGCCTCGAAGTGGTCTCGCCCCACGAGTTCGAGATCGTCATCTATCTCAATCAAATGGGAGTGCTGAACTTCGTGGACGACGGCTCGCTCCCGGGCTGCGCCGTCTTAAAACTGAGCGACGGGAGGAAGCGTTCCATGTCCCTCTGGGTCGAGTTCATCACCGCTTCGGGATACCTATCGGCGCGCAAGATACGGTCGCGCTTCCAAACGTTGGTAGCCCAGGCCTGTGACAAGTGCTCGTATAGAGATTGCGTGAAAATGATCGCGGAAACGACCGAAGTCAAGTTGCGAATTCGTGAAAGATACATAGTGCAAATAACCCCAGCGTTCAAGTGCGCCGGCCTGTGGCCGCGGTCCGCCGCACACTGGCCCCTCCCGGCGATACCCTGGCCGCATCCCAATATAATCGCCGAAGTTAAAACGGAAGGTTTCGATTTATTATCAAAGGAATGTCTCGCGTTGCAAGGGAAAAACTCCGCGATGGAGGGAGACGCTTGGGTGCTGAGTTTCTTAGAGGCGGAGAACCGTCTGCTGCAAGGCGGATGTCGGCGGAAATGTCTGAGCATACTGAAAACAATAAGAGACCGCCACTTGGACTTGCCGGGTAACCCGGTGACGTGTTATCACATGAAGACGTTGTTGTTGTACGAGTGCGAGAAACACCCGCGGGAGCACGAGTGGGACGAGGCCGCCATCGGCGACCGGATCAACGGGATCTTCCTGCAGCTGATATCCTCGCTCCAGTGCCGACGCTGCCCCCACTACTTCCTGCCGCACGTGGACCTCTTCAAGGGCAAGTCGCCGACGGCGCTGGAGAACGCGGCCAAACAAGTTTGGAGGCTGACCAGAGAGATGCTCACTAATTCCAGAGCCTTCGAGAAGCTGTGAGCTAGTGTGCAGTGATGTGAGTGAGTGCGGCGTGTAGTTGTTCGCAAGTCATATGTATTGACGTAGGTAGCGTGTGAGGCCCGCGACGAGTTAGCGAGATGAGGTAATGGCTCGCACGGATCTACAGACTGTAAGTAGAAGTGACACGTACTTCCTACTAATAGAATTAGTATGATTTTATTCTATTATATTTTGTGATATATAAATGTAAATAGCTTAATCGTTGTACAATTCTAGTGATAGATATATTTTTAATTTAAACGAAAACCGTGTATTTATTTGACTGAAAAATCTTTTAGTAGGCATATAAAAAAGTATGGTTAAAATAAAATTATTTAAAAAATTCTATATAACGCTTTGATTTCTTATCCCTATAACATAAATTAGACTATCACATGAAACATAGAGATATCGGGAAGCGAAACTACACGTTTACAAGTGTTGAGTGCTGATTTTAGGCATACGAGTTAGATTACGTATTGTACATCACTACCATATTTCTATTACCCGATTAGGAATTTCATTTAAAAAAACTGACCACACATCACCCATACCGTACCTACAAATGGTTTTTTTTAGTTAGTTGAGAACTAAAAGGCTTAAATTTTGGATCACGGGTCCATACAAATTATTTAATTATTTATTGTGAAATTTAAACATTATTGCTTTTATACGACGGTTCAAATGTTGAGAACTTCTGTTTATTTTTATAGATTAATAGAAAAAAAATGAGTTGCACAAAGGCATAGTTTATTTCTGCTATCCGTAACGACTATAAGAAAAACAATTAAAGGAACTAGATGTCCCGCAGTAGTCGAAATTCGACTATAATTAATTGGAATTGTAAGTTTGTACACTATTATGATTGTATTTTCAACGCCAAGACTACACTATAGAAAAATATTAATAAAGACAAACAATATTTAATCTATTCTCAATTTGACCACAGACGTTAAGAACAAAAGTTTGACAATAACTATATAGTATGCATGCACACACGTGTCAAATACATGGTAGTGTGTGTAATGTTTTCTTTATTGATTTAATGTATCTTTTATGCATTATTTTAAAAAAATATTAGCAGTGTGTACTTCTTCTCTATATTCTCTATAAGTGTGGAAAATTTCATACTCCTCCGTCCGTGCAATTTTCGTAAAAAGGGATACAAAGTTTTTGCTTCACGTATTAATATATAGATGTATGTTCATATGTATGTTTCTATAACGGTTGTTGGGAACAATGTACCTATTAAATATGTTAATCAAAGTAGGCTCATATACAATTCAATACAATATGGTCATATATTTAACATAATACACGAATGCATAAATACACATCAAGTGTATTTATTTATTTTATTTATTTATTTATACTTTATGCACAAAACAAAACTTGTACACAGGCGGACTTAATGCCATGGGCATTCTCTTCCAGTCGACCATAGGGTGGTGTAGAGATAATGCATGGTAGGTGCATTAACAAAGAATAACAAACAACAGCAATAAAACAAAAAAAAGAACAAAATCAAAACAAAAATCTTCCTTAAAATAACATCTCAATAATATAGAATAAACATAATGTTAAATATAGGTACTTATATAGATTACAGTGTACCTACTCGATTACAAATATACATAATATATATATGTACATGGTTTATTACATTAAGAAGACACTTATCACTTTTTATTATTATTCTCATTATCCTCTCGCAGGTCTGCTGGAAGAGATTTCTCAAAGAAATAAGCAGTGCCTTTGTACATAATTTTCCTATTACTCTGTACTGTGTCTTGTTTTCTGTGTGTACATAAATAAATAAATAAATAAAGAATACAATACGTGATGACTATGTGGTTAATAGAACATTCGATTCCTTGATTTTGTATTATAATAATAAATAAATATTTACTAACAATCACGCCACGTTAACTTGTCCCGTGCTAAGTTCGTAAAGAACTTGTGTTACAGGTACTAGATAACGGAAATAAATGTAAGATTTTTATTATACACATACATATATTTAATATACATCTATAACCCTGGAAAAGACATTTATATTTATCATACAAATATCTTCCCTTGGCGGGATTCGAACCCACGACCCCCTTGTGTAGTGACCATGTCACTTACCACTACACCAGACGGCCGTTGAAATTGTATGTATGAATGTATTTAAACGCAGACAAATAAACATTAGCCGGTAGCGAGTTCTTGTATGAGAAAGATTTCCTGAAATTATTAATACAGTGATTCAACTTTAAAATGACGTAAAGATTTCCCTAAAGTCGTATAGACAATTAATAAGTAAGTACGTGTTCAAACGAAGATACAATATACTACACACACTAGCTACACACTATTGAGACATGAGGTCTAGGTCTCAATTGTTTAGTATAACAGCTCGTCCTTCGAATCTTCCCGACAGAATAAGTAATTGCACGATCAAATACAATAGTTATTCTTTTTGGACCGGCGAACGAGCTGATGGTGTACCTGGTGTTAAGTGGTCAACGCATCTTATAGATGTGATAAATGCCACTCGCTACACATTATTAAGACATGAAGTCTAGGTCTCAATTGTATAGTATAACAGATCACCCTTTGAATCGGGACGTGTTACTGCTTCTGTTACCTGTTAATGTCGCTGATAAAAAAATTATCAAAGTGGTTGCACTGACCCCTATCTACCATTAAGAAAAAGATATAAAATGTCCACTCTAAGACGTAAGATCATGGACCACTGAATGGATGAAACATAAGTTTTTTTATGACTTTATTTTTATTGCATAGATGGGTGGACGAGCTCACAGTCCATCTGGTGTTAAGTGGTTACTGGAGCCCATAGACATCTACAACGTAAATGCCGCCGCCCACCTTGAGATATAAGTTCTAAGGTCTCAGTATAATTACAACGGCTGCCCCGTCCTTCAAACCGAAACGCATTACTGCTTCACGGCAGAAATAGGCGGGGCGGTTGTACTTTACGAAAGGGTTCAACTTCACTTACGAGGCAGTATCTTGTTGAATGATATCTGGTATACCGATACACGAAGAAATTCTAACATCCAAAAGTTGTTGTTGGATTGTTTTTATCGATTCTAAACAATCACAGTTATCAAGAGTATATCTTAATTGTGTAGGTAGGTAGGTATACATATGTAACTGCCACAGCTGTCGATAGCTGGTGCTTAGTGAAAAAGAAGGACTCCAAAGGAATGGTTACCACGTTAACTGGAAGGTCTGTATTGGTCGGTATCAAAGAAAAGGTTGACAGGCAAATTTATGAAAGAAACACATGAAAACATTTCAAACTCTAAATGATTAGTAGATTGCTGTATTTAAATTATAATTTGCGTAATTACTGGTGGTAGGACCTCATGTGAGTCCGGGCGGGTAGGTACCACCGCCCTGCTTATTTTTGCCGTGAAGCGTGCGTGCGTTTCGGTTTGAAGGGTGGGGCAGCCGTTGTAACTATACTTGAGACCTTAGAACTTATATCTCAAGGTGGGTGGCGCATTTACGTTGTAGATGTCTATGGGCTCCAGTAAAAACATAGCACCAGATGGGCTGTGAGCTTGTCCACCCATCTAAGCAATAAAAAAAAAATGCAATTTAGGGGCAATTTTACTATAATGCGGTCTGGTAGGAGTTACAACAGCAGGCGTGAGTCCTTGAAATGTCTTCCTATAGTTCGTCTTCGTTTGAGTGTGAATTTTAATGATATCGGAACACGAACCTTCGGTTCTATGTTGGTTACTTTCAATGATCGATCTGTTTGTAGCAGTCCTAATGCGATATCGTTGTTCTGAGCTTGTATACTCGAGGATTGAGTTTAATAATGTTTTTTTAGTTGAGGTCATTGTTACAATACTACATATGTATGTATGTAATTTTTTTTACGACATTTCGCGCTTAATATCATGTTTATCTCCTTCAAATAACGTACTCATAGACGACGGAAATATTAAATTAAGAAAATACAAAATGCATAACATAAATTGTATTGATTTTTTGGTGCGGTAATAATGTTTTTGTTTATTTATTCGTTACGCCGCCGTCCGGGCAGGTTTCTTTTATAAAATATGGACACATAAAATATATTCCTACGTGGGGTGTTGGGTTACACTTAATATTCTAGTTGTTCACTGTGGGTTGCTACAGATCGATCGATAATGGATAAGTTTATGCGAAGCCGCTAACACTGCGAATTTTATGGGACAGAGATATATCGAATTAGATTGCCTATCTAAGACATTCCTTACTAAACCAATAATCAATCAATTTAATTTATACAAAAATTTCGTTATTTTGGACATAAAATTTTTTTAAAGACGTGTATTCGTAAAACCGTTTTTTTTTTAATTTAGATTTTAGGCCGCTTAAATAAAAGCGGCTCTAAAGAAAATAATAAAATGTTTATTTTTATGTAAAAAATGTACAATCTGTTTTCTAATGGCGGCTCATGGCCTCCTGGATTTTTTAGCCGCGCATGCGCGTGACGTAACCAAAGGTTTTGCGACAAGATAATTATAGAAGTACTATCTGACCCGGCAGACTTCGTAGTGCCTCAGTCGATAATGTATAAAATAAACTTAAAACAAATAAAAGGAATCCGTCCGACGGGGGACACATCAAAGGAAAAGCAAAATTGTTATTTTTATTTCATTCCGCACATTTTCATATTTATCTAACCTTTTAAACCTTCTCTGGACGTCCACAAATAATTCAAGACCAAAATTAGCTAAATCAGTCCAGCCGTTCTCGAGTTTTAGCGAGACTAACGAACAGCAATTCATTTTTATATATATATTTTATATAGATTATTTTGTCCAAATTTTAATTATGATCATTCTTCATTAGTATGTTAGTACTATTTCAGCGTTTTCTTGCATTGCTATCCAATATTGAACTATGATAAAGAAATTCAATTGCAACTTATTAGGGAGCTAGTTCATAATTAATTCAGAATGCAGCCTATGCGTAGCGTCCTCTGTGAAATCGTGTTCACTTGTTAAATCTCTCAACTTTAAATGGGCTATCAATGTTTTAGAATACGGCGACATTTGACTATGATTAAAAATACTATCACTATATATCCTATCAGTATAGGTTGACAATTAAAATAAACTAATAATTAAATAGATTCTTCTCCGAATTGTGGCTATTTTTGAACAGGTAATGTTTGAAATGGTGGTTAAATTTGACTTTTAATTAGCATGTTTCGGTAGGCAGCGGCTTGGCTCTACCCCTGGCATTGCTGAAGTCCATGGGCGACGGTAACCACTCACCATCAGGTGGGCCATAAGCTCGTCTGCCTACAAGGGCAATAAAAAA